AATGTCATGCAGACTTGTTCCGAGATGTCCTAGGCTCATCTCAGGGCCCGCTGCGAGTGTAGACTCGGTAGGTCTAGTCCAAACATATGTTTGCGAGCACCTCATGTGATTCAGGTGTCCTTTGTGTTTTCGCCCAGAACAGTTCGGCTCAGGGGCGCCCCCAGATCGGAAGAAAGGGTTGGCCCTCTCCCTGTTTGGTGCCGTGCATGTCGAATTTGATTTCGCAGCTGTGCTCCCGAAGCAGCGTGGGCCTCATTTCCGGATCGGCGTTTTGCTCCCTGGCCGTTTGTCTGGATGCGAATATTCGTTGATTGTTATCGCCCCCCGCATGTCCCCTGCTCTGCTTTCCCGCGGTCCTCCTGCTCCGTCCTGCTGCTGCCGTTTGTCCTGGTCATCCTCCTTCCTGATCCTTCTCCGCGCATTCCTGCTCATTATCCTGCTCGCCCGCCACCCCTTCTTCCAATGTGCGCAGCTACTTTTCCAATGGCGCATAGCGCGCTGGGTCCTTCTTGGAGTTCCTGGTCCGCTATGACACGCGTCGGTTGATAGAAAACAACAAGGCAATGTGAAGGTATGGGTGGGGAGGATAGGAAGACAGATATGGCGTGAGCGCACCTAGCTTTTCCTCGCCTTTTTTCATATCCCCCCCTCCTCGACCCCCTGCTCATAGACTGATAACAAGGAAGACGGACTATGAGAATAACAATGACACCGCCTGCATAACGCACGCACGGACACACATTTGCAGACACACGCGCACACACGCGCACGCACGCACGCACGCACGCACGCGCGCGCACGCACGCGCGCGCACGCACACGCGCACGCACGCGCGCACGCACACGCGCACGCAGGCACGCACGCACACACACACACACACACACACACACACACACACACACACACACACACACAACACACACACACACACGCACGCACGCACGCACACCCAGAACATCACCCCCCGCGGGTCCTGCATCGCCGACACCGCCTGGTCGACCTTCTCGTCGGACGGCAACGCGTCCGCGGTCTGGCGCCGGATCCGGCGCTGGGCCAGGCTGTCGACGTCCATCACGGCCATCGGGTCGCAGGCCTGCATCTCCGAGCTGCCGCGATCTCGGACGCGCTTCGGCACTGCCCCCTCCAAGGCTGACTCCGCCTCGCACGCCATCCCTCAAAGGTCGCGTCGAGCGCGCTGGGCCAGGGCCCGGCCCCCGCTTCCCGCCGGGCGCCGCCGATCGAAGATAGAGACCCTCGCCCTTGAGCTGAGACGCCGAGCTGCGGAGCACTCGGCGCGCCAATCGTAGACCGCAATCTCCGCGCTTCCACCATTCGTTACTCAGGTCGTTTCGCTCACGAGTCATGTCCAGAGGATGCCATGTCCAGAGGATGACGGCACTCTAACTGGCGGGTAGATAGCATCCTCATTGAGCGCGGACTTGACCGACGAGAGAACCGGCCCGCCCCGAACGCCATCACGATGTCACTCCACATGTTGATCACGCCCTGGAACAGGCGCCAGACCAGTTCAGCCCACTTCTCCTCGCGACGGCTGAGACTGTCTGGCACCTCGCTCGTGGTGAGCCTGTACAAGATCGGCGTGGTCTCGGTCTTCGTTGCAAGGGCCGCCGCGACGCTGCTGGACCTGACCTGGAGGCCAACAAAGAAACTGAAGAGCGCCGCGTTCGCCTCAAGGCCTTGAGCCGAGGGAGAGGCCTTGACCCGGGGTCCCGGACAACCTTGAAAGTGCCATCCTTGGAAAAAGCCCTTAACTGCGTCGATCGGGCCCACCTGGTTGGCCGTCTCCGACGCGTCGTACACGTTGCCCCCAGATCTCGAGACGGAAGGCCCCGACGATTGTCTACCTGACCCTGCTCCGAACTGCTTGCCCCTGCTCAGAACTGCTCGCTGAGAACTCGGACTGGAATTCCACGACCCCCTGGCACCCCCCTCCAGCTGCCAGCTTGCTTCGAGTCCCGAGGCCCCGTGTTGGACACCGCAACCGAGGAGGCCCCCGAGGATGCCAAGGGGGAGGAGGGGTACCCGGCCTCGGCCTTCAGTTCCCTGAGAACTGGTGTTTCTGTGGCACGGAGTCCGGGCACACAGAATCCGCGGGACCCCCCACACTGTCCACCCGAACCGTTCGGTGGCCTCGGGGCAGCTGAGACTTCGGCGCGCACGCTCCGAGACGATCAAAACTCATCTCGTTCTTTGACAAACAAAATGTTGCTCCAAAAAGAGGCCGCATGCCCATTGGGAGCACGGGATGGCAAATCTTGATTGACAGCATCCACGTCAACCACTCCTATTTTTCCTTCTGGACCGAAGGGCTCTAGCACGCCAACGACCACCTCGATGCGCCCCCCGACGCCCATCCTGCCGCGGCTCGAGCTGGGGGCGCGGGGGACGCGGAAGCCCTTCGAGGCCAGGGCCGCGCCGAGCTTGCACAGCGCGGGCATCCCGACGATGGCCTGGCCAGCAGCGGCGTCCACCAACATCGAGTCGCACTCCACGGTCAAAATCACTGGCGTCGTCTCCTTCTGACCCCAGAGCTCGGAGAGGGTCTTCGACACTAGGGTCGTGACGCCCAGGAAGACTGGCCCCGGGGCTTCGTTCTCGACCAGGAAGGCGGAGAGCACCAGACCAGAGCCAGACTGACCGTTGATGGAGAACGCGGGTTTCCCACCAAGCTCCGAAATCTGTCAATTTTGAAGGCGCTCCTCCGACCAGCCTTGCGTCGATCATTGTCGTGGCGTTCACCGCTCAACGCGTCAAGCCTCGACTGGATAGTCTTGGCCCCGGACTCGCTGATGAGCGTCTGATCTGAGAGGTCGTCGACCCCCCGCTGCATGTCGAACTCTCACGCCTGCGGCAGCTTGTCGGCCCTCCTGGGGGGACAAATGTCAGTACCGTCCAGCCACCTGTGGATTCGCTGCGCCATATCTTGTAGTCGGGCCAGCCCATGCACTTCGGCAGGTCGGAAAGGTCCGGCTTGAGCCACGAGGAAGAGAACAGCGAGGACTGCTGCCAGCGCTGGCCGGCCAAGTCAGGGGATCCCAATTCAGTACTGCCGTCCTTGAGTGTCGAACGTCCACCCTGAACCATGATCTGCGTCCTGCTTCGAAACGTTATGAGTCCAGCCGGCCAGGCTCCCCCACAAGCCTGCGCCGCCCCGTGCCGCACTCGAGCTCAAACGGGACATAGATCGGACGCATCCCAAGGATCTTCTAGCTGGCTAGTCTTCGGACCTCGTGGTTACCAGCCTGCACCCTCAGATCCTTTCCGCGATGTCCCTACTGCTGCCGACGCTCCTCTGACTGCGTCGGTCACGAGCTGAATCAACTCCTTCGTCTAGGTTTCGGCGAAGCCTGACTCCTGAGCCCTCCCGGAGACCGCAATGCCAACCTCGTCACGCGAGTCCCCCTTGTTTCCTGCTGACGCCTTCTCGCCTTCAGCTTCACCCAGAGGCCCCTGGATACACCAGAGGCTCCGCTACCAACTGCGAGATCAAATATGACAGGCAAGGCACCGAACAGGGAGAAGGCAGACCTTCTGTTCCGTAACACGGATAACATGTGCAAGAATCGGAGAGTGCCCCTTAGCCGCCTCAGCCAAACTGCTCTGGACGAAAACACAAGGGACACCTGAGCAAAATGATGTGCTCGCAAGCATGTGTATGGACTTGACCCACTGAACTTACATTCACACAATTATGAAATACCGAGAAATCATTCGGAATGCAACAGAACAAATTGTGTGCAAGACAATACCGGAGAGGGCCGAACATCTTTCGGACAAGTCAGGGGAGAGAGGAGAAAGACCATTTGTTTCCCTTCCCCGCGTAACGGTCGTTACCCAGGGGGGGGTCGGGCGGGAGGGTAACGGTAACGGCGGCCACGGCGTGCACCCGCCAGAGTGCGTCCGCGCCACTGGCGCATCAATCGCCTTTGTGCTCCACAGCATGTAGGGGAGGGTCCAGCCCCCCTCCTGGTACGATCGTTAGCGTTAATTACTTGGGGGGAGAAGGGGTGGCGGTTAGCCTGGGTAACGAGCGTTACCGTGAGGAGGAAAAATAAACGCTCACAGAGCGATAGGAGATGAGCGGTGGGGCAGGAGGAGGAGGAGGAGGAGGAGGAGGAGGGGCAGAAGGAGGAGGGCAGGAGGACAGTAGGCAGGAGGACGAAAAAGCAGGAGGAGGAGGAGGAGGGCAGGAGGAGGACGGAGGCACAGAGGGGGAAAACGGAGGAGGAGGAGGAGGAGGAAGAGGAGGAGGAGGAGGGGGAACAAGGAGGAGGAGGAAAAAGGGGAGGGCAGGAGGAGGAGGAGGAGGAGGAGGAGGAGGAGAAGGGGGAACAAGGCACAGAGGAGGACGGAGAGGAGGGGGAAAAAGGAGGAGGAGGGCAGGGGGACGGGAGGCACGGAGGAGCTCAGGAGGGAGGGAGGACAGCAGGCGACTGCACCGACCCCCCCGCTGCCTCGACCCCGCTTGCCACCGCTCGGACGTCCACTCCCCGTGCACTCCTCGGCCTCCTGCGCGCCTTTCCTCGCAGGACGATCCCCAAAAGGCTGCTCGATGGCCCTCGCCGTAAAGAAACGCACACGTCCCCAGACATCCGGCTGCTCCAATTTTTGGGGTGCATGGACCCAGGAGGTCCAGACCACTTCCCCGGGACCGGTCTTGCGTCCTGAGTCGTTTTTTGACGCTCCCGAGGCCCGGCGAAGGCCCCCGGAGGCCGAAGACGGCCACAAACCGCCTGCTCCCATTTTTGGGGGGAGCGTCGGAGCTCAGGGTCCGAGCGGTGCCAAGCTTATGTCGGGCGTGTCCCCCTAGGGGGAAATGTTCGCCGAAAAAATTACAATGCCCCAAAATAATCCCCAAAAGGCCAAAAATACTCAAAACATATTGCCCAGACCATTTCTGGATTATCTTTGGATTATGTTTCAAGCATTTCTCATTCTTCGTCGAACATCCCCCTGCAGGGGGACAGGCCCGACATCACCGTGGAACCCTCCAGGATCAGCTCCAGGATATTGACAACCTGCAGCGCCGTGTCCACCACCTGCGCGCGCCGCAGGCTGCGCCCGTGGGCGCGGAAGACGCGCTCGAGCGTCGGCCCCATCCGCTCCGTGACCAGGACGCCGACGCCGCCCTCGCTGCCCGACCAGTGGAGCCGAGGCACGCCCCGGACACCTGCGGGGCAGCGATAGGGGGGGACGACGCTCCAAATAGTCCCAAAACTACTCTGGGGACGAATTTGTTTGAGCATGTTTGACCGTTTTGGGGGGTATTCTTGGGGTATTTATCATTTGCTCGTCCAACATATTTCCCCGTAGGGGGACGCCCGACATAAGCTTGGCACCGCTCGGACCCTGAGCTCCGACGCTCCAAAAAAAAAATTGGGGCAGGCGGTTTGTGGCCGCTTTCGGCCTCCGGGGGCCCTCGCCAGGCCTCGGGAGCGTCAAAAAACGACTCAGGACGAAAGACCGGTCCCGGGGAAGGGGTCCAGAACTCCTGGGTCCACGCCCCCCAAAAATTGGAGCGGCCGGATGTCTGGGAAGGGGGGGAGACATCGACCTGGAATCGACGATGCCTCTTCGACGGATTGGCGATAGGACCCCGACAGCGAAGCCGCGCGTTCCTGGGCAGCCTGGGGCCATGTCGGGCCCCCAATTGTCGGCGATCCATGGGCGAATGGGGATATGCCTATCCTTAGAAAAAACAGGGTTCGTTAGGGACTGGTTTCCCCCCCAAACGGCGAAAACCCTTCCAAAACCCTTCCGAAACCATGCGAAAAGCCTCCAGGAGACCTTCCATGAGGGTTTTCGGAGGGTTTCGGGAGGATTTCGGCTGTTTTGGGAGGAAACCAATCCCTAGGGAACCTGGACTTTCTAAGCCTATCCCCCCCTATCGTTGGCCCTGAACACCCTCCAGGGCCATGTACACGGCTGCCTCGCGAGGCAGACGCGGAGAGCACTCGCCGGGAGGCTCCACCTGCGAGGCGGGCATTTGCCCATATCCACCGCCTGGGAATTGACGTCCTGGTACCCCAGCAAGCAGCGGATACGGATATACTTTGGCCCCCCGGGGCCCGAACATATCCATATCCACCGCCTGCGAGGTCCCCGAAAATTGATGCTCCAGGCGGTGGCCATGTATAAATTCCCGCCTCGGACCACCTTGATCGCCACCTCCGTGCCGGCCGCACAGTCCGCGCCGCGGTGCACCTTCCCGGACCTGCTCGTGGCGATCTCGGCGCCGAGCCGGTAGCGCCGTCTGCCCACCAGCGCCACCATCCCGCCGCCGCGGCGCCGCCGCGAGGCTTCTCGGCGCGAGGGGTGAACCCAGACAGTATCGCGTCGTTAAAAAAAATCGGCACAGGAGGTTTTTGGCCATCTTCGACCCCAGGGGGCCCTCGCTGGGCCTCGGGGCCGTCAAAAAACAAAAAAACAGCTTGGGACGGAAAACCGGTCCTGGGGAAAGGGTCGGGACTTCCAGGGGCGCATTCCTGAAAAAATCAGGACGTCGCATGTCTGGGGAGAGGACCTGGTGCGCGCGAAGTGGGCACGTATGGGAACGACGACCACTCGGAGGCCCCCGAAACGGTGCGGCGGCCGGCCCTCGAACCTCGAACCTGGAGGCCTCCTAGATGGGGGCCGAGCAGATGGGGCCGGCGGATCGCGCCGCATCACCGATGCATCGACGATACATCGGCGATGCATCGACGACGTCGACGCGAAGCAAAGGGTCGGGCCTTCCAGGGACGCCGTCCGGAAAAAAAGCAAGACGTCGCATGTCTGGGCAGGGGGTCCCGGCGGAAGCAGGCGGTGCGCCCTGGGCCCCTCCCGGGGCCGAGCTCCCACTCCTCCTCCTCCTCCTCCTCCTCCTCCTCCTCCTCCTCCGCCTCCTCCTCCTCCTCCTCCTCCTCCTCCTCCTCCTCCTCCTCCTCCTCTCCTCCTCCTCCTCCTCCTCCTCCTCCTCCTCCTCCTCCTCCTCCTCCTCCCTGGCCCAAGAGGCCTCCCAGACCACTCCCGCCCGAGGACCCGCCTCGCTGACGGCCCTGGGGCCCAGGAGGCCCCCCCGGAGCCCAGGAGGCCCACCGGGAGCCCGAGATCGAAGAAGGGCCTCTAGGACCCTCCCTTCCTTGGGCTGGGACGGGCGCCATGATGCGAGTGGCCGAGGATGCGCTCCAGGGAGTCCGCGCGGAACGCCCAGGGCTCTTGGAAGGCTTGAAACGTGCCACTGTCCTGCCTTCTTGCTCCTCTGATTGTTGCAGGTCCAACACTGTCGGGGAGAGTAAGACTCGGGTACGGGGGACTCGGGTTGGCCTGACGGGGCCATCATGAAAATGTCGAGACCCAATCTGAAACTTGACGCGAGCTCCCACTGCAAACATCCCACGAAAACTGAACCGTCAAAATCCAGGACTCGCTCGTGAAAAACCTTCGGCAAACCCGAATTCCGGCTTACTCGAGTCTTACGTTTCCCCGACACTGGTGAGG